ACCACCACCACCTGGGGACCTTCCACTTTCACCCTCTGCTTTCTCTGCTGCCCCTGGGACCCCTGTGGCCCGAAGGGACCCCACCCCAGCCTGTTGCCCTTCCTGCCGAAGGGCCACCCCCAGCAGCGTCTGGGGGCCCTTGGGCGGCCTGGCACGGAGCCCCTCTGCACACTCCCTGGGATCTGATCCCGACGAATATGCCAGCAGCGGCAGCAGCTTGGGGGGATCTGACTCGCCTGTCTTTGAGGCTGGGGTTTTTGGGCCACCCCAGCCACCTGCAGCTCCCCGGCGACTCCCCATCTTCAATCGTATCTCCGTTTCTGAGTGACAAATGCCTACCCAGTACAGATCAGCTGGATCTTAAGGGGGGCCATTTCTCTCATGCTAGGGGTTCCAGGGCTGTGGGGAACCAAGGGACTCTGAATTAAGTAGCTCCCCCCCACCTACCAAAGTGCATTAACTCACTCCCCTGACCCTACCCTGGGGCAGGTCCCCAGTGTGCAAGCTCAGTGTTAATGGTGTTGGGAGAAGGAGTGTTTTCTGGGGTCTTAAAAAAAGATGTAGCAAATTTGAGGGAGGCAGTGAGCCCTCTAACTCTCCCACCTTTCCCTTGCCCAGTGCTGTGAATAATAGGCTCCCAATACCCCCTTTCAATTTTTTCTAGATCCTGAGGTTCCAGTGTCAGACAGTGACCTGAGCCTCCCCTGAAGGGGAATCCTGGTGCTCAAATTTCCCTCCAAAAGCAAGTAGCCAAAGCCATTGCCAGCCCCCTGTGCTCCCCACTACCTGCCCCTGCCTTTAGGCCCTTTATTTATGACGACTTTATTTATTCTAATAGATTTTATAGTATTTATATATATTGGGTCGTCTGCTTCCCTTGTATTTTTCTTCCTCTTTTTTGTAATATGGGAAACGATTAAATAATTAAGTATACTATAATAATATATTAAGTAATATATTGTTAAAAGTTTATTTTTGTGTTTTTTGGAATTTTTAAATAAAAGAAATCGGTGTGTAAACTGGAATCCTGGCTTTCCTGCGGTCTAGAGGCTGTGAGAGGAGAGGGGAGGATGGTGTGGCCTTTTTTTTTAAGAAATGGGGTAGAATCTATGGATAGCTCCTCCGAAACTTCCCGGGGCCCAGCCGCTGGCGTTGCTTACCTGGCAGGAAGTGACGTCACCTGGTCCGGCCGTTCACCTGAGAGGGCGGGGCCAGGTGAGGTCACCCGGTAGGAACCGGGAGAGCCAGTTCCCAGGGCGGGGGTAGGGGGCCGGCGCTTCTGTCCCGCTGGGCTCCTTGACCCAGCTCTCGGCCAGGCGCGGGCGGGGACTGGATGT